GCTGAACGCCCGCAACCAATCAGCTCTCAGCAGACCCGCCCATGATAAAAGAACAATAGATACACAAGACTTATTATTACATTCCCATGATGCTTTGCAATGTAGTGTCACATGTTTGGCTGGGGAGCCACACTGCTCTTCTTGAAGTTCAGGAAGTTGCGTTTCTTCTTGCGTGAGCGAGATGTTTGCGTGTGCTGCTGGGTGGCAGGAGGAACACAGCGGAAAACAAACATCCGCTCCACAGAGATGAGACTGTCCTGAGCCACTCCCACAGGCCACGCCCCCTCAACCGCAGCCATGCCTTCGGGACACACCTCTTCACTAACATCCCTCATAGAGACGAGACTGTCCGGAGCCACGCCCAAAGGCCACGCCCCCTCGACAGTAGCCACACTCTCAGGCCACGCCCCCTCACCGCCCCTTGTCTCAGGCCCCGCCTCCGTCTCCTCGGAAGGTTCTGGCACAGGAAGTTCTCGTCTGCAGCGGCGTCTCCGCAGAGTCTCCTCAGCGACTCCAGAACCTCCAGCTCCGGACAACAGCTTGTCGAGGAGCTTCTGACGCTTCTTGAGGAACCTGAGGAACACACACACACACGCTCAACACACGCAGAGCTGATCGGCCCTATACGCTCACTACGCAAGTTACGTAGGGCCCCCGTAAATTACGCAAGGCCTCGCCTCCCCCTCGTGTCAAAGCGGCGCGGCACTTTCAATCTGCTGCAGAGACGAGGAAAAATAGGAAAGAAAGTGAGCAAGATAAGGGTAAGTGATGGATTTTATAAAGCTGATGTTGAAATGGTGGCTGCTGCATTGTGATTTGTCGATTTAATTCGGCATTTCATGAGAGCTTTGAAGACGTGAAACACAGAGTCGTGACCGCAGAAATACGGAAGAAGTCAAAACAGTATTTACATGTTTGTTTGCACATACATATTTTTACAAGCCGATCTAGAAAAGAGATTATTATGAGCATAATTTAAATAATACTAATTTTCATAACCCTTTGGCAGGTGTCTTTGCTTTATTAAAGCATTAATCTTAAATTTTTATATATTTCTCTGAAAGTAATGGTCAAACATTTAAAATTTAACAAAATAAATTGTATACAACATGAAATATGGGCTTATCTTCATATTTCTATCATGAAAGATAAATAAGACAATTTTCTAAAAATTTCCAATACGGTGTCGATATGAGTATTGGAGGCTCGGAGGTGGTGCTTAGGTGAAACCGTAGGTAGTGGAGGCACCTTTTGAAAATCTGCTTAGGGCCCCCAAAACGCTAGGATCGGCTCTGAACATCTGAACACACGGCATGATGGGAGTGATCCGTGACAGCTGGATGAAGCGTGTGTGAGAATGTGTGTTTGCTGAGATGTTCTCAGTGTTTCTTCTTGTAGTCAGTGTCAGTCTGCAGAACACAGACGCTTTAATGCCTCTAACACTGGTTTGTGTTTCTAATCGTGATCAGACTGACCTGTCTCTGTCTCTGTGCTGAAGAGCGTCAGACAGATTTCTGCTCAGCACATCGTGTCTCAGTCTGTCTGCCAGAGACGAGCAGCTTCCTGATTCCCTACGGGTCAAAAACAACAGTAACCATGAGCAAAACTCATCAAATATGACACACTCAGTTTCAGATGTAAGCAGCTCTACAGAACAGAGTCATGATTCAGATCAAACACAGATCCATTTCAGACCTGTTTGTGTTCCGTGTGTGTGTGTGTGTTCGCTCGTGTGTGTGTGTGTGTGTGTTACCCGACTCCGGGTCCTAGTGCGTCTACGAGTGACAGCAGTTCTCCTTCAGGTACTGTAGGAAGCAGGAGCCGCAGGACTTTGTGGAGATCAGGAACAGACATCAGAGACTGTTTGACCAACGCTGCTGTAAACTCCAGATCCTGAAACACACACACACACACACACACACACAGATGTAACACACACACACAGAGAGAGAGACACACACACACACACACACACACACACACACACACACACAGACACACACAAAGCAAGGTTTTGCACTCCATGAGTACTGAAAGATATAAGCCATCTCATAAACCTTTGTATGATTGAAGAGAGGCTCAAATCTGGTAGATGTTGAAGCTGTAGTGTTGTTTCAGCAAATGGCTGCCTAGATGGTAAGCTACAGCAGAATGAGTCGAGTTTTCTCATTTCTAATCATTATAATAGCTGTTTAATTGAATGGCTGTTTAACTTCATATGTATCAGTCTGCTATAGGTAATGGTGCATAAAAACAAAACAGATAATTGAGATTTTCATTATCAAAGGCATTTGAATGGATTGATAGCATAGGGCTTGTGTCTACTGGTGTCGTGGACTCTGATGATCTACGCTGTTTATTCAGGCATGCAGATGATGGGCTTTGCATTTGTGCAGGGTTACAGAGAGGGAGGGGAGAATCTCCTACTGCACACTTGACCCAGTAATGAGAGCGAGGGAGAGAATGAGTACACATATACAACGTGTGGGAGGGAGCAGATCGCAAGACATCATTCCTACACACAGAGATGTAACACAGAGAGAGACACACACACACACACACACACCCACGTTAAACATGTTTGTTTGTTTGTATGAAATGCACAGATGAAATGTATAAAGGACTAAAGCACTCTTAATGAAATGGTTACATAAAAGTCTATATTTAAATGTATAATGAATTATATACCATGAAAACAGCATATTAAAATTTTTCATAACATTACATTTCACAAAACTACTATTGTGTCAATACTGTGTTCCATATTAACAAATACTGCATCCCTAATTTGAAAATGAGAAAAAAATGCTGTGAAAATAAGTGGACTCATTTAATTGATTTATTTAATTATTAACCATTTAATTATTCAGATAATTGTCATGTTTAATTTTCCTCCGGAGGTCGCATTTGTAGGCTGCGTACGTCATCAAAGGTGTCTTATTTTAGAAAAGTAACCGTAATAAACACACACACTGATAGTACTTGTGAGGTGTAAAATAATGTAATTTCTTTTTTACTTTGCAATTTAACACTTTACTTAAATGAGATTAAACCTATGCTCTCAATGTCAAATGCAGAAATGTTAATTCATGTGTTCATGACCTCAAGGTTAGATTATTGTAATGCTTTATTGGGTGGTTGTTCTGCACGCTTAATAAACAAACTCCAGCTGGTCCAAAATGCAGCAGCTAGAGTTCTTACTAGAACCAGGAAGTATGACCATATTAGCCCGGTTCTGTCAACACTGCACTGGCTCCCTATTAAACATCGTATAGATTTTAAAATCTTGCTTATTACTTATAAAGCCCTGAATGGTTTAGCACCTCAGTATTTGAACGAGCTCTTATTGCATTATAGTCCTCCACGTCCGCTGCGTTCTCAAAACTGTGGCCATTTGATAATACCTAGAATATCAAAATCAACTACGGGCGGAAGATCCTTTTCCTATTTAGCTCCCAAACTCTGGAATAACCTACCTAACATTGTTCGGCAGGCAGACACACTCGGTCAGTTTAAATCTAGATTAAAGACCCATCTCTTTAACCTGGCTTACACA